TTAACAATATATGTTTTTTTTCAGCCTATGTCACCAGGCTAGATTTTGAGATATTGCATAATATTTCTGCCATAGGAAACTGTAGTAAAAGTGTTATAATAGTGTCAAAATGGTGACTTTCCACTAAAATACAACCATCAATTTCTCAAAAAAAAGGCTGGTGACCCCCCAATTTGTTTTTAGGTCAATATCCTTATATTGCCTTGGAGTACAATTTATTACACAATGAATAAATTCTGGGTTTTTTAATTTATGAGTAGGCTTCTACCTTAAACTAACTTTTATTTTACTCTTGTGACCACAACTGTTTAGAATGCATTGTTAAAAATTCCTAACAGCTGATGCTCTTCTATATGCACATCAGAATATAGAATACGACCTGTGACTCGTTCATCTACTGAATCATGCAAGATCTTGTCAATAACGAAAAATTATCTATCATACATTATGTTTCAGATAAACATCGAGACAAAAAGTCCATTGGCTAACAACAACCATATGATTTGATCGAATAATGGTTGAATGAGAATTACATGCAATGTTTAGATCGACCCTAAACCCACAAAAATAATGCTCTTGGACGGGCGCAGTTTGATATGTCCAGTGACCCAAAGAAAAACAAAATAGCGCATTTTCTATAAAATTACACGACTTTCTAAATTTTGATTAGTATCACGTCCCCCAATCTTGTGATAATATATTTCGTTTTCTAGACAAAAACATTAATCAATTAAAAACCAAAAGAAATGCGATCAATCAACGCATGCTTTGATCACTGCATCCCGATGATGATGTTGACGAACTCTTACCGAGACCGGTTACTGCCACCCTTCTCCTCGAATCTTGGGAATAACGTCTTATGTGAATATGTGAAAACATCAACAAAGTTCTCAACTTCATCTTGACAAAAAATCAAAGCGATAATATACAACTAGACTATATTGTTGAAAACAATTCCCGTGTCCTCATCAAAACAAAACATTATTTTAAGACCGCCGCCATGGTACATCAGTCACCGTTTTACGGCATACAGATTCACTGTAATATTCAGAAACAACAAAATTTTAATATACAAAAGTGTGTAGATATATAATTAATAATTTTAATTGTTTATAGTATGTTGTACCTATTTTTAGTTGTTTTCTTGTAAATTACGACGAAGTCGCAAAACAACCATTTGTTAAAGAACCCAGAAACTTACCTAAGGGGTCAACACACTCCCTAAGTATGCATCTTATATTTCTCATTCTCAGCTTCATCCACATCTTCTTCACGCCTCTATTTACTACACGACTTCGTTCTCTCTGCACGCTTATTTAGTCAACAATTCATGATCTCCCGGGAAAGGAAAACCAGCCGCCTAGTGAACTTCTGCAAGTGGTGAGTGGCTTTTATTTATTTATCTTCATATTCAATTTCCCCACAGGGTTTGTTTTGATTGAGAGTCATGAAAACGATCAAAACTCGTCCCGAGCGAACGACACATTTTGTGTAGTGCTGTCGTTCATGACAGGTTGTTCTCTCAACCGTACAATGTATGCATATGCTTTTTCACCATTTCTTAAAATAAAATAATTAATAGAAATAATTTTAACTTTGAATGAAATTTAATTATCAAGTAAATATAATTAGTATTTGTTCAAACTTAAACAGGTACTATAACACTATTTTAAAAAATATAAATTTGTTTTGTTGAGATAGCACAAAAGATATTAGTGTTGTTCATGCAAAAGTTTTGCAAAAAACAACAAATGAATTTATTACAATTCATTTATCAAGTAAATTGTATACTTCATATTTATACAAACTACAGTTACATTTTAATAACAGAAGTATTGAATAATTTTCCTTGTGAAAATTTGTTGAAAAATCATTTTCAGTCTATTTCAATAAAATACATGTTTTAACTTAAAATGAAAAAAGCACAACTTTCCCTAAAATATCCCATGGGAGCCACAATACTGACTGCCTCCATGTGTAATTATTTTGCAGCCAAACCAATAAAAAATTGAATGAGCTGAAAATTGCTTCTTCTGTGAAATGATTTATAACCATACTCATGTCTTTCATTTGAATCTCTGTCTCTGTGGAACGTATTTCTCCAATGCCCCCTATTATTAATCTTTAATCCACCTGGATAACACAATAACCATCTTCTCACTGCTTGAGATCTCATTCATGCGCTGTAGACACCTCTAATTACCCTACCCTATGTGTGATAGTTGTATTACTATGGTAATTTAATCCTGGGAATGCCAGCTTTTGTTACCTTTCACAAAATAATCCTCAAAAATTTGTTTCATATTTTTATTTTTATATATTTTGATCAAAACTTGTAGGCAACAGAAAACTATTTCCATTTTTTCCAAAATTTTGATTAAGACTTGTAGAAAATCAGAAATTATGTTTATTTGCTTCAAAATTTTGATAAGGATGTGTAGGTAACAGGAAATTTTTTCTATTTGACTCAAAATTTTGACCAATACTTGTAGAAAATCAGAAATTATGTTTATTTGATTTAACATTTTGATAAGGATGTGTAGGCAACAGGAAAATATTTTTCTTTGATTCAAAATTTTGACCAAGACTTGTGGGCAATCACAAATTAAGTTTATTTGACTCAAAATTTTGATAAGGATGTGTAGGCAACAAGAAATTATTTCTATTTGATTAAAAATTTTGACCAAGACTTGCAGATAATCAGAAATTTTCCCATTTGATCCACAATTTTTACATTTTTTATGTTTGATTCACAATTAACAAAGAAAATTTCAAAAATGAATAAAATTTCAGTGGTGGGAAAAATCTTTAAAACTTTTTTGCTTGGACTGAACAATTTCCAAACAATCGTTTGACTATTGTTTCTGTGGTTTACATCATCATCCATTTTCTACATTAAGTTAGAAGCCTACTCATAAATGCAAGTACCCAGAATTTATTCATTTTGCAATAAATTGTACTCTCTGGCAAGACAAGGATATTGGTTGAGGGTAAGCAGTCTAATTTTCTAGAAAATATTGGTTGTATTTTAGATGATATTGGCCATTTCGACAGTCTAGTGCTTTTACTGTAGGTTTCTTTGGCAGAGATATTATGCCATATCTCAAATTGTAGGCTGATGATATAGGGTAAACCAATCATATACATGTATTGTGAATGATGGGGTACTTTTTGTTGTCTTGCATTATTTAAAAAAATCTGGTAACGTCATTTGATTGTGCCATGGGACAATAGTTGCGTTCGGATGAAGAAACACTAAGTACGGATTAAAATCTGATTCATACTTATCATCCAGTCCTGATCATTAGCACAAGCTAACAAAGCGTGTGTGAAAAGTTCATTTTTTGTTTGAATCATAATATTGTTAAAACGTTTTTAAAAATTGTAAATTTAGTGAGTTTCCAATAATATAATAATAGTTTACCGTTATATACAATGGGAAATTCTATCTCATAATGCACTTCTGTGTGCAGTACCATGCCTATCCCACAATGCACTTCTGTGTGCAGTACCATGCCTATCCCACAATGCACTGTTGTGTGCAGTACCATGCATATCCCACAATGCACTGCCGTGTGCAGTACTATGTCTATCCCACAATGCAGTGTGCAGTACCATGCTCAGTATCGCAAACTTTGAATTTGAATCACAACTGCCTTAACCCTTTGAATGTCAAAGTTAACTTTTGTAACCTTTCACAAACTAAACCTGCGTCAAAATTTTTACATATTTTTTTCAAAAATTATGTCCATTTGTTACAAAATTAATAAAGAAAAATAATTGAAAAAGAACCCCATAAAAATATTGCAGCAAAATTTTGGTGGGAAATATATAATATAATAATAATAAATTTATTGCATCCTTAGAAATAATTTCCATTGGTTGACAGCAATAAAATGTTAGTAATAAAGTACAATACATATAAAACTAAAGTAAAAGTAAAATGTCAATATGACGTTCAAAGGGTATACACCTCTAAATGCTCTCAAATTATTAAACTTGGAACATTAATTACGCATTTTGTATATACCAGTATTGCAATGGAACCAGTATATTAAAGCCAATATGATACGTCACTGATGCGCATTTTTGTGATGAACTAGTGCTATTTCCTGGGTATAACATTGACTCAATAGCAAATCATGCATTAAAAAAAGTTACCTTGAAATATATCTTGCTGTATAGCACTTGCCAGTAGCCACGTTAGTGTATGCTAACTGAAATTTGAAGTGGTGAATGTGATTTATATTCTATTAGCCAAAATAACTATTTAAAATTCTGAAATTACAATATCATGCAATGCTATAGCACTATGCATGATGTAAGGAAATGATATCCACCATAAAGCAGGATATAAAAACAAGAAAATCAGTTGGAATTGATGGCATCCCATCTGAAATGCTAAAGCATAGTCATCCATTAATAGCAGAAGCATTACAAAAGATTTTTAATATCATTTTACAAAGGGGAGAATATCCAGATTGTTGGAACACAAATATAATCACACCAGTA